TCGCTCAGCCTCTGAGGGCACCGAGAATCCTGCAGAGCATCGAGTCCAAGCTGAAAGTGCTGGATTATTATGAAGAGCTGCTTCGCGAGAAGCGACGAGCGACCGAAGTCCTCTGCGCACCCCGCCGGGGTGCGAAGACAGCAGAGGCTCGGCAGGCTCAGGCGCGACCTCCGTAAAGAAGCGGAACATCCAGCAGCTGTGTCGGCAGCGTTTCGTGACTTTAGGAAATGCCAAGGTCTGCAAATGGGTAGTTACCGCTCGACGTGAGGCATGCGAAGCAAGGTATGTGGGGCGAAAGCTTAAACCAAACCCTAAACCCTAAGCCTAAACCCTAAACCCTAAACAATAAACCTAAACCCCAAACCCTAAACCTAAACCCTAAACCCTAACCCCTAAACCCTAAACAAAAATGAACTCCTCCAGTTCCAGGCTTCAACCTCCGGCTCGGAGTTCGAAGGAAGTGTTTCGGCAGAAGCGATGACCAGAGAGAGGGCCCTAAACCCCTAAAGCCCTAAACCTTAAACCCTAAACCCTAGGGTTTAGGGTAAACCCTAAAGCCCTAAACCTTAAGCCCTAAACCCTATAAGGTTTAGGCTAAACCCTAAACCCCTAAAGCCCTAAACCTTAAACCCTAAACCCTAAACCCCTAAAGACCTAAACCTTGAACCCTAAACCCTGAAATTTAGGCTTTAGGGCAACCCGGCAAGCCTTGGAATCTGGTGCTCCCGGGCTGACGCGATCGCACTTCTCTCGCTTGGGACGTTTCTAGGACCTGCAAACCGATTTTGGGACTTTCCGAAAATTAGGGGTAGCTTCTTTTGGGGTCCTTATAATAAGGATCCTACTATTAAGGGTGCTATACTAGGGTCCCCTATTTTCGGAAACCCCGATTTTGGAGACTTCGAAGCTGCCGGGGTATAGGGGTTTTAGGGGGTTTAGGGTTTAGGGTTTTAGGGTTTAGGGCTTAGGGCTTTATAGGGCTTTAGGGTTTTAGGGTTTAGGGTTTTAGGGTTTAGGGCTAAGGGCTTTAGGGCTTACGGCTTTATAGGGCTTTAGGGTTTAGGGCTAAGGGCTTTAGGGTTTAGGGCTAAGGGTTTTAGGGTTTAAGGGTTTAGGGCTAAGGGCTTTAGGGTTTTAGGGTTTAGGGCTAAGGGCTTTAGGGCTTAGGGCCTTAGGGTTTTAGGGTTTAGGGTTTAGGGCTGACCTGGGCCCTAAAGAACCTACCTGTTTAGGGTTCCTTATTAAAGTCCTTAAGAAGGTAAGTTATTTTATAGAACCCTAAACTGTCAGTTTGGGAGGTTGAGACTGGCTGCATCCTGAGCGAAGCTGCTCAAAGATAGCGGCCTCGCTGAGAGCCCGCCGAACTGTCTTTTCCCAGAACCTCGCAGAACAAATCCCGAAGCCCGTGAAACCCTAATTTTAGGGTTTAGGGTTTAAGGGCTTTAAAAGCCTTGGAGCCAATCTAACTCGCAAAGCCCAAGGCCTTACAGTGACCAACATGGCATCTCGGTTTTCCTGTAGCGTGCGAGCAAGAGAGAGAGGAAAAAGAGCTTGGAACCACCGGTGTGTGATGCCTCTTTCCTGTTTAGGGCTTGCGGTCTATATGAGATGAGGTCAAAATTATCGTATATTGGTTGTAGAGCAGGCGGTTGTCGAAGATGGCCAATGCTACCGTTGACTTGTAAAACGATACGGGACGCCCTAAAGACGATACCCTAAATGCAGCAATGTTGCCATTGCATCCTTTCGTTTTAGGATGCTTCAGGGCGTTGAATGCTTGAGGGTGTCGAGGTTTCATGG